GAACCCCAACGTGATACGCTGAATGTGTCAAATGAGACGTGACTGGAAAACGAGTAGGGATCTTGGTGCTTGCCCATAGTAGGACTCTTAAATGAAACCCACGTGCACCCTGACGATGCACCCGCGTAACTATTGTTATGCCGATGCGCTTTGGACAATGCGCGAGAAGATAAATCACGTTGCTCAAAATTCTTTTTTTAGATCAATAAAAGCACTTGATGACATTTATCCTCGAACGATTTTCCATTCTCACTTCTGTCATGTAATAATACAGAATTGATGCATGAATAAATTCATTCGCTTCAGTAATTAGATGTCACTGTAAAATGTAGAATTTAATTTAGTTAATATTGGATTAAATGTAATGTGAAATTAAATAAATGTAAAATTATATAGAGCTGAAATTAGAATTTGACACTCGTAAAGAATAAAAATGCAAAAGAATGGAACTTAATCAAATTTTTGACGAATTAAATTAAGATACTCCTAAAAATTTCAACATAAGAAAAACATTATGAAATCTACTACTTTTGTGTAGTAAATTAAGACAAGTGACTTTTTCTCGTATCTGTCATCAGAACGATGGAAAGTGAAATTGAAGAAACTACGCTGTGCGAATCTCGTTGATGTTGGATTCGTCCGGCCTCGTTGCGTTTTTGCTTTGCATAAATGATGAGCCCGAGTATTTTAATGAAGACATTCCGCAGCTGCTTGCCGGCTCCTTGGCGCACGACGACGAGATGAGAAAGAGGAAGGACAGCCTCCTTGACTTAGATTTTATTCCTCACCGCTTCAATGTCGTATCTCAATGACGCAGTGAACAGTAGAATTATGAGAGCCGTTTTCACGAACTGTCGATTAAGTTCGATGTTTTCATAACTAGAAAAAAGAAATAAACTATTGTTAAAATTTAATAATATAGACAAAGTCATAAAATAAATTAAAAGTAAATCTCTTTTGACGACTATATAAGTCCTCTTATAAAATGAAATAATTGCAAATTTTATTAATAGAAAATATATTCTTTTTATTTACGTCTAATTTATTAATTGGCTCATAATCTGGATATTTATATTTCAAGATATATACTTTCGCGTAAAATCCGTTGTAAGATAACTCTATCAATTTGGTGTGTAACAAGCTTAATGGTACACCAGTGGTTTCCGGACTTCCGTCTTTGGAAAAGATGTCCCGCCGATCGTAGTTGACCGGTTCCATTCCTGCGAAGGCCCGCCGAGGATCGCGACGCCGTGGAATGCTCGAATCATGCCCCCTAATTCCCCGATGATCCAGGCCGACTACACGAAGATCTAGCGCGATCGTCTCCGATCTATCCTGAAGGGGTCTCCCGCGGGGCAGGTAGCCTCTTGTGCGAGAGGGAGAGGAGGAGAAGCGGAGAGACTTCTGTCAGCGTGACCACGATTATATCTATGCGTTCATCTGCGCCTACGACAGCCACGAGAGATAGCCGAATGTCCCTGTTCTATGTACGAGAGAACATACGGCTCGTTTATGTAATAGGGGATTCCTACCGTGGACACAGCGCGTTGGCGGTAGGAGGACGAGAGGGGACATCTAAGGACGAGGAAAGATCCTACCTTCCTTGATTTTCCTGATCATAAATCTACCTCGTGAGAGAAGACACTGATATCACGTGGGGTCCAGAGTGAAGACGAAGGTATATCGCGGCCGATGGTAATTTTGGGTAAATCAGGAATTTCGATAAATCGAAAAGAGAAGCTTCCGATACTTTTATTTCTTCATTTTCGTCCTGGTCGCGTGTGAATTCTTATTTACATTCGATACACGTATATACCTAACCAGAAACATTCATTAGAAAGATTCAAATAATGTGCAACGAGCTGTTACAAGAAAGGAAATAAATTATAAGACAAAACTAATTTAATAATTAATTAAATATATAGAATTAAAAATATTTTAATTCCATTTACCCTCTAGATTTACGATTTATGCATCAGCTGCAAGTCCGAAAATTTAGATATTGACGTGTCAAGATTGACAAATGGTCGAGAAATTCAAACAGTAAAATTAATATTCATATTCACGGTCGGGCCATTTATTGCGCTGGTGCAATATCAACTCGACCCTCCCCCCATATCATCCCAGTAGGTTACAAAAGGGGAGCTCGTGTATCCGGTATTTAATTACCGCGAACTGAAGGGTGATCCGCGCAAGTGTTTCATTATTTATTGCGCAAATATCTAGTGCTTTCAATATTTCCATCACACAAAAATGCAATATAAATTATTTCTATACTATAGTGTTCTCTTTCAAATGTAGATTCTTTAACAAATATATACATACATATATACAGTATAGTCAAACGTTTACAAGTAAAGAAACTAATAGAGAAAGTCAGTATACTTTACCTTTCCCGTTTCAATATTCTGATTTCTAACGCTAATTGCACTAATAAATTTGCAAATGCGATTTCATCGCGGGCATAATAGGAACGGTGAATAAACTATCGACCAAACAAAAGCCAGTTCGGTAATTACAACAGCATAATATATTCTAGAGAGTGGCAATAAATTTCGCTCCTCTCTCCCTCTCTTTCTCTATCTTTCCCTCTCCATATACACGGTGTTTCTATATTATCGTCTATTTATACTAAACTTTTGGAAGAATATGGCATCGGTGCTCGTTCATATTATCAAATTTTGTGTCGTAAACAATTTATATATGCAATTTAATTTTTGTAATCAATTTTTGTTCAATTTTTGCTAACAGAAAATTAATTTTCATTTGGTAAAGTGAATGCGGTCACCCTGTATGTTAGTTTTCTTCTTATCTGAGAATCGAGAATCTAGGCCCTCGATTGCCATACGAGGATTTATTTTATTATATACTGAATTTACTGGCGGCTTCCGTTTATTGAAATCGGTACCCGATCGGAGATTACGAGGCAACAACGGGGTAACCGTCATTACCAAGGCACTTAATTACCGCTCATAAAGCAAGACAAGCCCGACAAGACTGACACGTTACAAAGGATACTTTTTCGACTGGCGCAAAGTTATCTCGCGCGCGAAAGCCTCGACGAAACTTAAATGTATTCCGAAAATCACGTTTCGGTATTTAAACGCCACATAAATCCTGGCACATGAGAAGACAATGGAACTATTATTAATCACAGTGAATTAAATTTTTTCTTAGATAGTATAGATTTTTATCAATTTTTATTAATTATGAATTTATTTTCACCGATGTAATGAATTAAATGAGAATTAAAAGTATAATATTGTTATCAACAGAAAATTAAATTATTTCGTACAAAGTTGATTTTGTACCTTTTATAGAACATAGGTAAAGATTATCTTACTTTTATTCAAATAGACTTTTGTTGTAATAAACTTTAATTTTAATGTTATTCCACCGTTATATGAGAAATGGAATTATTTCGACTGATATCTGAAAAAGATAACGAAAATCAGGAAATTCGGCATTTCGCTCTTCACGTGGGACTCACGTGGTGGCTTCCTGCCGATAGTTTTTCCGCGTCTAGCTGAGGCATATGCACGATTGCGTAAGAAAACACGGAGATCATACGAAACGGTAGAAGAAACGGAACAGACTGATTTATGTATGCTGCCGGGGCGATGTCCCGGCCAAAGTAGACGATGTTAAATTGCCGGATAAAACGCGATCCCTTACAGAATATTTATAACGCATTAGTCAACATCACTCTGCCATATATACCAACAAAAAATCTCGAGTTATCGTCTATAAAATATTATCAACTGTATTTTGATGTTTAATACATCGCATAAAAGTTATGAGATTCTGGATTATTAATTTATTGCTTCTCTTGGAATATAGTCTTACTTGTAGTGTATAGATAGAGAGAAAAAATCGAATTTTTCGTCTTAAAAGCTGAATCATTCCTCATATTTTTTTAAGTTGAAAGAAAAAGGATTGACATATTTATTGGAAACGTTACGGTTGACTGGCTCTTTGTAGCAAAATTTGACGCTTGGCTTGACGCAATCTCACATTGCTAAGTCAAGTTATGCGTGATAAAAAGTCGCGGGAGTAATAATAACTTACTAAACGCCATTTATCTTGGAGCAAGCGCGGCGGACTACGGACAACATATGCTTTACACATGATAACGCGCGCGTCGATCATCTGCACGTTTCCTCCTCCGGCCGAAGTGACGAAGTTAATTGCTCGTTTTCTCATCTCGTTAGCGTTACTTCCGCCTGCGACGGGAAAACAAATGCGCAAGCCCACGTGTTACGAGCTTAAATTAATGCCCTCGAGTTATTACGCTACATGCAGAACGTCGAGTTTTCTTGTACAACTTTTTGGCAGACAAAGTGTCTCTTTGCATTTTCTCTGTTAATCAAAAGATGTAACTTCTTCATAGGAGGTACAATGTAGGTAATAAAAAATGACAATATATAGATCTAGTGCCAAAATTTTGGCAGTATGTTTCATGCTTATAACTTACAATACTTCGCTTACCTTCATTTTTTCAAAAGGAGAGATGGAAACTTGTGGTTAGACAGAAAGTAGATTAAACTTCCTGTTCTAATTACGTGCTTGATTAGTTTCTCGTCTGAAGCACACCACTAAATTTAACAGTGTGCAATTAACCCGTGTAACGAACCGCAGAAATATAAAATACTATTTTCTAAAAATTGCTTTTAGGAACTGATAGGTTCAAACTAATAAACATTATAAAGATAAAGTTAATAAAAAATATATATAGATTAAAAAATATACATATATTGTCAATTAAAATAAATTATTGACCAGAAAAATGACAAATATCTCGCTTCCGTATATGCGACATAAATTCGTAGAAATAATAATTACGAAAATCAAGAAAATAAAAAACAAAAAAATCTGAAAATTGTGAAAAATTCAAAACACTGGAACGTTGATTTTTAATCGAAGAAAAAATAATATTGACGGTAAATAGAAAAAGCAAATGATGTGATATGCGAATTATTTATTTAACAATTAGACAGGCGATAACATGAGATGGATACGATGTGCTTAATGTAGGTAATACGACGGTGATTATACCGGACAGTTACTAAACGATGGAGTAGCGGGTGGAAAAGATTTGAGAGATGAAGAGGTAAGATGTGCGAGAGGTGCAGCCAGGGGTGCAAAGAATAATAGAGTTGACTCGTCGGATAATAACTATTTTAATTCGCTAACTCGGGGGAGATTTTAGAATATTTGCGGCGCCTATTGTTTATGATACATTAATAATAATAATATATTTATATATATGGCAAGATCATTGGTCAATAAATACTTCACTTAAGTCGGCAGCTAAATTTGTCAAATAATTATTTCCTAGTTCTAATCAGCGATCTCGACACTAAAAAATTAAAAAAAATCTTGCTCTTTAAATTTAAAATTGCTTCTAGTAAATTTTTGAATGTGGATCGTTTTTATTTAACCATTGCATTCGAATGGATCGTTATTGTTTAACCATTGCATTTTTAATAAAATATCAAATTTACAGACTCAATATTTTAGAAAAGAAAATCAAAGATATATATTAATTATTTGGGAAATTTAGATGCCTTGACGGTTTAAATCGCACTACGTTATTGTACCAGCTGAAGACGATTCTCGGTCGCATTCTTACGGCCAATCTCTCTCCACGACGCCAGACACTGCAATCACTATAAAGGTAATAGTGCGCGCAAGTATTCGTCTAATACTATCTGTTTTATGCTAATAGTAGATCCTTAAAAGATGTAGGTAACACTATGTACATGACAACGACGAACGTCTCAGTCGTCATTTTCGCTTAACAAAGTCCTCGTTCCCGCTACATTCGCGCCTCTACGATCTATATCGTTTAGATCGCATTATTAAATTTTCTTATTAATCGAAACACAGTCCTTCAGTCGTCTTCTGAATTTAAGGAAATCGCATGCCTCCTGCCGATCAACGCTCGATCCTAGAACCAATAAAGGTCCTTGGAATCCTGAACTTGAGACTCGAGTCCTGTAACAGGCAAGAGAGAGATATTGTTGAATATACGATTCAATGAATCTAACAATATATTTGATTTTTTTTATACATATTTGAAGTGTAAATTCTGTTATATATACATACATATACTAAAGACTTTATTATTTTTAATTCTACATTTCTTAGATTTTGAAGCAGCTGGTTTCGTAGTTGCCTGAAAGCAATGTTACCAAGTAAAACATCAATCTTATAGAAAGGCTTCTGGCACTGCAGTGAGAGATCCATAAACGTTATACAAGTGATCAGCTGTTTTAAACCGCTTTTCGATCTGAAAGACGTTTCTTGTCGTTGCTCGAAATTATTTATCGGTAAGGAGAGACAACGTTATGACGGATGCGAGGGTGCAGAACTGGTGATGGCACCCGCTGAGCAACACGGACAAACCGACGGACAGACGGACGAGTGGACAGATGGGGGTCTGATGTCACGACGCGACGCCGCCGGCCAGTTAAGATCTCATGTCCCTTGTGGTCGAATTTATCTCTTATCTCGATATACACCGAAGAATGAATCGACAGATCATCGTCGCCGATATAGCATTCTTAAGTGATTTAGGGAGGCGCGAGGTTGCTGTATAATCATCGAATAATTTTAGTAATTTAGTACAAATGTTATTTCGTATATATAGGATACTCCGTAAAATACTATTCATCAAAAGCGATATCTTCGCTTAAAATTGAACAAAAACTCTCGTGTATTGTAAAATTTGATAATTATTTCGGCAGATTAAATAAAAGAGAGCGAATAATAAAAATGTTGTCGTTGAAACGCGTGATTCAATTCAACCATTACAACGATCAAAGGGTACCTAAAGCTATATAGATATATCTCTTTTCAATTTCTTCTTTAATATTTCTTGATCCGATCAAGCGAGCCGCGCGTTCGATTATCGTGCAACAGATCGACGTTTCGACATCGTGAATTGCCAGCACGTGATACGGGAGATTGAGTTTGTATCCATCGATACGCACGTGTCGGCACGTGGACGTATCTACCTGCTTCAAAGTCAGCAACGTGCGACCCATGATACATCGCCATATTGGCGCACGAATGCACGCACATACGCGGGGTGCGAACACAAAGATCTCGGTCGTGTGAGTGAACGTCGGCGTCGCATGGAACGCAAAGTATTATTTGATCGAGAGAGTCACTGAGCCAGAAAATGATCAAGGAAGGGATCGGCGGGTAGAAAGGAAAACAGTCTTGGAAAATTATCGCGATGGATTGACTATTACGAAGAAATGATGAATTACTTGAAGTGGAATCTTGTCCTGTACGAGTTTGTATGTACCAATCTATTGTTAGAAATATTTATTTAAATTATTTAGACATTGTTGGAAGTTATTATAAATTAACTATTTGATTAATGTACTCATGGCGAAGATGTCCCTTTTTAATTCAATGTATATAACGAATGTTTTATCTAGGAAGAATGTGATGACTAAAATGATATTGGAAATACGTAATGTTATCAGCATAAAGGCATAAAACATAGTGAAGTAAACTTGTCTGTTTATTTAAAATGAAACCAAGGACTATTCTATATACAATTATTATATTCTATAATAATTTAGCTACTGAAAAGAATGTAGTTAAGAATAAGAATATAATGGTCTCGCGCGACTGATCATATGAATTAAAAACGCAGCAACTTTATCTAAAAACATATGAAAGGCGAAAATATGGAAATTATGTGCCTTTTTCCGTTTACTGATTATCGTGGCCTTGACTCCATTAATTTATTTAGAATGTTATTTTGCGCGATTGAAATTTTAGTAAGCGTCGAACGTAGCGAAGAAATTCTTGGCAATTTCCGACAGAACGTTTCGTTTCCTTGGAGTTTGTACGCCTCACTTCTTTGTCGGTAGGACTAAAGGGAATTCCTTCGTGCGGGATCTCGCAGTGCTCTTTGATATCGCGATATTGAATGTTGGAACATTCATAACAGGTGCGTCCGTCCGTAACTTCGTATTCGCTGATCTGTGTGCGCCTGAGGTTTCAAACGGAAACATCTTGTTCTGCATTTCTTAAGAATACGATAAACGCGGCACGCGACTCCTTCACGAAATATGCTTGTCTTTGTACCGAAATTTATACAAAGGTCGATTGAGCTAAATAGTATAAATTAACGTATTATTTTAGCATTTATTGTCTTATCGCGATTTTCAAATATATATAATTTACGTAAAGATTATTATTATGATTTATTAGTAAATATTGTTATGTATTAGTAAATTACATGTATTTACTGGTAAATAAATAATAATAACAATTTACTAGTAAATCATTATTAATAAAATAATTTAATTAATAGACTCAAGAAAATAATTATGTTAGTATCATGATGGTTGTGAATCAAATTTCTCTCTCAAAATTATAGTTCTCACAATTATTTTATTAATAACAGAAACTTATTGAGAAACGCGATAATCCAGCGTGGTCATCATGATAATCCTTGTGACGTCGTTAATCCTTCACATATAGAAATCCTAAACAGAACCGCCGGCGTATAATCTTCGTGGGAGGACATCCTAATTCAATACATCCTGCGACACCACGAATGCCGAGTAATGCGCCATAAGTGTCACCGGCTGGGACGATTTATGCGAGTGGTGTACATATGCGTTTTCGCCGTACATGCGAAACCGATATAGTCCAGGATGCCAGGAAAATGGCGAGGCAAAGGGCGCCGGTGTTTGGTGAATGGTGTGTCGAATAACCCGAACAATATTGCCCGATGTTTGCCATATTATCACGGAGTCACCCTCGTGTTTGCGGCAAGATGCGGCACAAGGGATGTGGCACGCGTGTCTAATTCCCAGGGTAAAATTTCAACGACCGATTATGTCCGAAATATTAATTTGAGTCATTAAATATAGTTAATTATCGAATCTCTGTCTCTTTCTTTTTTATCTCTCATGAAATATATATGTATAGCATCGTTTTTAAAATTTCGTGTGTCTATTCACGTGATAATATAATAATCTCTTTTGACTTTGTCAGAATAAGATATATGAAATTTTTATCGAGCTAAAGATCAGATCTTTTGTTTTTACTATACAAGCGTCCATAGACTTCTATTCTCATCTAGGGCTGATCTAGGGAGGGAGGAGGCAGTGTGCAATATTGCGCCCGACACACGTCGGTGATCCTGGAGATTTGGGAAGTTTAATTTGTAATTAATAGTCGCTCATCGGTGCATACGAGTTCGAGAGGGGCGCCAGTCGACCAGGCTTACAACGAGTTCAAGTATATTGGATTCTAGACGGCGAGGGGTCTGACCCTTCCCTCCATTGATAAGGGTCATCACAATGCTCGTCCCTTGCGCGCATCCCTCGCCGATGAAGGGATAGCAAGGGTCGAATCCTCACTTTTTGCAGAGCGAGGGTGTTCGATTTAATTTAATCTCGATGCCCTTGTTTCTGAACGCCGAGCGCGTTTTTCGAGCGGTCACAGGCGGAAAGGTGATCGTCTTCGTTTTACATTCGGTGCAAGTCGAGAGACGCAAGAAGATCAAAGAACAAGAAGAGCGCGATCGGGAAAACGATAATGCAAGATACCTATAGACTTGACGATTTATAAAGCATAAGAATTTTACATTTTTTTTTATCTCAAAGCGCGAAATTTTAACATCTATTGCACGTATAAAATAATAGCTTCAATAATATCTAGAAATCTGTCGCTTATATCTTCAATATCTCTTCGTACATTCTTCATATAAAAATATACAAAAAATATATACAACAAAAAAATATATAATGCAAGAATATCGAGAATTTCAAGATTTTGAACCGGAAGATTAAAAAAAGAATAAAGAACGACTAAAAGGACGAAGAGGACACAATGAATCTCGCGTGTTCTCCAATGCGGCGACCTGTCTGGTTCGTAGAGAAGCAAGCAGAGTTCGAGAGATCGATATAACCAGCAACCGCTCGACCACTCCCTCCGTTCGCAAGCTGACCAATCGAGGATGACTGGCCATCCCCGGCTGGCCCGAGTCTCTCTTTCCCTTCTTCTCGTGCAACGGTGAATTACGTGACGTCATTGTACGACGCCATTTTCGAGGCGCGTGCCAGAAAGCGTACGGGAGTACCGATGGATTACGCCGCGCTAGAATGTTTTATGAAGAATGTCCTAGCTCCGAAAAGAAATTTATATATACATATATTGTACATAAATATAATCCTTTTATCCTAAGTTGGATTTTAAAAGTTTCCTGGATTTTAAATTAAATATATTTGGATTTCCTAGTGAGATCCTAGATTTCTTAATCTTCAATTCTAAGTCCCTTAAATCTTACGTTAATTGGTGTTTATTTATTTTAAATCCTATGTCAAATTTCTTTTAGACAGATACGCGATAATTCGAATTATATAGTCTCTGGTTTTGATAAATCCATGATATTGTATTTTTTTGAACTTTGCGTACCTTAGAATCTGGTATTTTAGTTGCTAAATGGTTTAAACCATAGCATCTTTAGATCCTGCCTCGGGTTCGCTGCATTCCGAACACAGTTCATTTATCAGAAGGGTAAGAACGTTGAGCTTGTTTATCTAAAACCAGACCACAGATTAAAATCGTATGCGTGTCTGTACCGCGAATAAATAATTCATCACTTTATCGCATGCCTTGAAGCTAATCGGTATCAACGCATGTTCAACACTTCTTATCCGAGGGACGATTAATCTTGAGAGAAATTGAGCTAATTTATTTAAAATAAACCTCTAAAGATCTCAGGTTGCGCATGTAGGAGAATAAATAATTGTCCATGACATAATTTGTCGATTTATTTTCTGAAAGTAAATTAATGTCTTCCTAAAAGTTCTCATAGTTAGCTTGATACGTTATTATTTCATACCTCAATTGTGTTCTAAACTCTGTAAATATGCAATGTAGTTTAGATCTTTTCTTAGATATTCTAGTATATTTTCCTTCAATTTTATTTAGAATCAATGCAATAGACGATATTTATTATAATCAATTATTTAATCTGTAACACAATGGATATATTAAGTGATTATGAATAAAGTTGAGAAAATTAACAATGAAGTTTGAATCGGTTTAACTTTTCGTCTTTCTCTAGTTCTAAGAATTCGAAAAGGATAAGAAATAAATTAAATCGAGATTAAAGTTAATCTGCATTGATAGAAATGGACATCCAACGATCCAAGTAGTTCGTTTCACGATATCGACAACGTCGAGCCGTTCTCTAATGATGAAAAGCTAACGTGATAGCTTCCCACGGGAAACGGCATGGCGGCAAGCCGCAAAATAAAGGCGAGACGATGCACGTGTGCGAAGACATCGCCATGTTAAGACGCGGACGCGTCATCCGGTAATTGCGATTTATTTCTCTTAATCACTGCGTAAACGGCAGCCAATTTATGCGGTTCGAGTTAATTTCGCGCAATTATATAATTACCGAGAGCGGCGGCCATCGCGCAGGCAGCGAACCTAATCGGTTTGCCGAGACGAGCGCCGTAATGGCGGCACTTAAATTTAAAGATACCTCGAAGACTCTGCGCACACCAATTCACCCCTGCTGAGAACAAACCGGCGTTCATTTCACCCTCTATTACTCTTTCCCGAGTCCCTTGATCAGAACAGGAGTTTCTGTTAACTTCTTAATATTTTGTGTGTTTGCTTCAGCAAATTAATAATAATTACAGTTCACCCTTTTCAAAATAAAATTTTATATTTTATATGAATCTTATATATTCATAAATTAATTGTAAAAAACTAAAGTTGAAATTTAACTTGTAAATATCAATACGTGAATAATGATAGAGAGAGAGAACTTGGCAAAAAAAATTTATTCTCGTGATTTGCAAAGTATACAAGTTACTGTTCCTGGCTCTAAATTTCTTTTGACTCTTACGTATGTAACAAAACGTTAGATTCATGGTGCTTATTTTTATCTCAGAGGTTCCGCTGTTCGAATGAAAGGGAACTGTAAGAGGGATGGTAGAGGGTTGGGATTCATTTTGCGGCACGATGCTTGGTCTCGGCGTGTAGCAAAGTGAGGGTACAAAATCGATACTAGACCTCCTCTCCCTTCTTGGGATGGATGTCACTGTTTCCGTGGCTTGGCAGCCATGTCTTTCGTCTGAGGGAAACGGAATTCAGGCAGCCTAGGATCTTAGCAGCCGTGGAAGTTAGATAGGATCCGGACGATCTAAGAATTAGTGCGCGAAAGTGCATAGATAGCGTGCACTTTCGGATTTCATTATAAGTTCGAGGAATGTAAAATTGGATCAAGAAGTTGGGAAGTTTAAAATTCGATTTAACCGTAAAATGCGAAAACTGGTAGAATGTAAATTCAATGGAGCAGCGAGTAGAAGGTGTATTTAGAGGCGATATACGTTCTAATTGGAAGCACAAAGCTGAAGAGAGTGGAGGTAGAAACGAAGTTGTAAAAATAAAAAATAACGAGAATTCCAACACGTCGTTCGCCGAATACTGTATATCTCAGAAAATTCCGAAGACCATATGCGAAATTGTGCAACTGCATGAAAGTGAGGGGAAGGCGTGTAAGCTGCATCAGGGTGCAGACAGATGGGAGTGGTCTCTGTAATCACGATAGGCGTGGTTTTTCATGGCTTACTGCAGCTGCATCACATGGGGTGCACAACTGTGCGCAGTCGGATTCTGTCACTTTTCCCGGGAAATAAATTATTCGATTCAATTCGACAAAAATAAGAAATCAGAACAGAATACTTGCCTCCCCCTTTTTAGATATGTAGACAATAAAATATAAACGTTTGAATAACTACATCACATATATAATTATTATTCAATTATATTTAATGCATTTTAAATAAATCACTTAAATTTTAATTATTGTAATTTAAATTTATTTTCAAATTATCTGTGCTGCAGTATTATCAATCCATTTTCAGAGAAGGTTGATAATTGCGAAAGTAAATTATCTTAATATACTGTATTAAATCTGTATTCTGCACGCGGAGGACAAATTCTTTAGCGACTTTTCCTTGCAAACAAAATAAAAAAAGCTAGATCGGAGATGGACAGAAATACCATTTTTCTATACCGCATAATTTAACGCTATTTTTCTGCCTCGCATAATTCACCGGCAGAATAAGCGGCGCGTTTAAGGAATACGAGGACACGAGCGACGAGATCCTGGCGGCGGTAAAGAGCGAGATATGTTTTGCGGATTCGTCCGCGGCTTTTTGTCCTGCGGACGATTTTGGTGGGTGAACGCCGAGCCGAAGGAGGACGCCGTATGGATCGCGGCTCCCATTAAGCCCTTATTAATTGCGAGCATCTGAGGGACCGACCGATCTTTCTTGCGCTACCTGCGCGCCATTCCGCTGGCCGAGCGAAGCTCCATCCTGTTGTCGCTCGACACAGTCAGGACACGGCAGGATCTTTGATACACCGTCAATATGCCGACGATTCGTATACGCGAGTATATCAGATGGAGCAATCGGGACCGCGGCGGCGTGATAAATCAGGAACAAATATCAGGAATCCGAGAATAAGTGCTTAATTCCAAAAGTCTTTCTCTTAAATAATTTTATTAAAAACCCGAAGGATTCTTATTCTTATGAAATTAAAAGAAAATGCGATAATCTCGCGATAATCGGCTTCGCCAACGACGAACACGACCGCTATTTATTAAAATTAAACGGACAATTTCTTCCCTGGGCGAATCTCACAGAAGTGAATATCGCGAATATCTCGGATGTTCTACGCGCGTTCTCTTCGAGTTTATCCGCGATGTCCATTCGCCGTTGGTGAAACCAAACATGGAAAAGTCTACTTACTTACCGGAGAGGGGTGCGTAGTGGCCGTGAGGATAGGGCGGCGCCGAGGAAGCGTCGACGAGGGATTGCGACGGCGTCGCCGACGTCCACTCCTTGTAGGTCGCCGCGGCGTGCGCGTGATGCGCCGCGTGGTGAGACGTGTGGTGGCCGAGGCCGCGTGCACCACCCAGCAGAAGGCCACTATAACTCGCCGCCGCTGCCATATTGTGGTGGTGGTACTCGTGCACGGCCCTGGAAAAAGAAAAAGGGCACGGGAAAATTTACGACGTGAGAATTGTGAAGGAAATGGATATACGCGGAGTGAATAAAAAAAACCTGGCCACACAAAATGCAGTATAATTTTCGGAGCACGTAAGATTAACTGACTGACATACGTAACTTTTTGACATACGGAAAGATACACGGAGCTGCATTGCGCCAAATCGACAAATAAAAATAGCACCACGGTTCTTATAGCGTGTCAACATAATCGCCTTGAGTGTGTCGTGATTAATGAGATATAAAATAATACGTGCCATCAGTACCTGATGCCAATTTGAAAGGGGCAAAGTAAAAGGAGAAACCAAAGAGAGAAACGGAATAGGGGTAGCGAGCGGGTGGTTTTAAAAGCAAAAACAAAGAGAAAAGGAACATGTGAAAAATATTGAAAACCGTCGGGAGCAGGTAACGCCGAGATCTTTAGCACTGATTCGGTCACTCCTATAAATTACAAGTCTGTCACCGCTGCCGTAGAAAAAGAATGGAAGGTATCGGCGATACTTCTTCTTTTTCTCTCTCGGTTTAATTTTCCTTCTTTCACTCCGTTCCCCATATGCATTTAACTCTTTTGTTTTTTCTTTCACATCTGTCGCTTCAAAATCTTAGCAAAAAAATCTG